TTAAGGAGGGGGGTGAGGCTGCTCCGCGCCCGCCCTCGGTGCTGGTTCTCGCAAAGAACCTAATGGGAAGACCTGAAGACCTCGTCTGGGCTCTTCTCCCCTGGCTTGACATGTTCCCTTTTGGAGATAAGACGAGGTATTTGCTAACCGTTGTCACACTTCGGCAGTGGGACTTCAAGTTGAAATCGAGTAAATTCGGCTATTTTTAGAAGTGGAGTCAGGTTTCCATTTTGAATATTTTCCGATAAACAAAGCAATGGGGATGCAGAGCACAGGCAGTCTGCAGCTCCCACGGTACATCTTAGCTGAGAGCTCGGGTTAGTAAGTCCTCTGGCTGGTTCCTCGGACGCACACGCTTCCCTGTTCGCTCTGCTCCTCTGCTCCTGAGCCGCTGCCACCATCTGCTCACCGATGCTGGTTTCCTGCTGTCCCAGGTCACTTAGCAGGGCTGGCTGGATGCATTCGGAGTGGGCTTTTGCTGCTGCTCCTCTCTGCATAGGATGGGGTGGTAAGAAGAGAAATCCCCATTAATAATTGACTCGCAGCAAGCTTGAAAGCTTCAGGGGTCACCTGCTTTCTTGTGACCATCTGTCATGCAGTCTCCTCTCTTCTGCTGTGGCTTCCTTAGGTTCATTTAACAGAAAAGTAATAAAGATGCCGTTTAAAATGTCTTTTAATGTTGGTGGTTTTTAAAGGCTGTGCATAGGTGTCGGATGCATAGATGGAAGTAGTTAACCTTGATCTTCTCCAGAACAGTAGCGCATGGTGTGTAGCTGAAGGGTAGCTTGTTTGCCCAGGAAATAGGGTGTTAGCAGCTTTGAGAAGTCACATTTTATTAGTGCAGCCTGTCACGCTTCCTTTGGAAACTGGAAGTAGTATTGAACAAATAGGAATGCTAATTAATAGTACGCGCTGTGTCAGATTTGTTTCCCCAGGGACCCACGGAGAGGTTTGGTTAGTCTTTTTTTTTTTCTTTTTTAATGCTGAGACACAGTTTGGTGTTCGTGAAAACTGAAACAGGCAGTGGTCACAAACACAGTTTGGGCATGTCTCTTGTGACAGTGATGTTCTGAGTTCTGCAGGAAAACTGTTGACTTTGCGTTCTTGCTTGGCCACAGTTCTAGGATGTTTCTGAAGTGATAGAAACATTGCATTTGTCTCAGAAGTCTCTTCTCTGCTGTCTTGCATGGAATGGTTTGGGGCGGTTTTGGTTGTGGTTGGTTTTTTTGTTGTTTTTTTTTTCCTTATGGTATAAATAGAAAACTATATTATATCCACTAAATGCCATAAAGCTGAGCAGTTTGAAGGAACTGATGTACTTTATAAAAGTTTTAATGTTCTATACTGTAGTGTTATTTAGAGCCTGAAAAGAAAAGCCCTAACATTTAATGCCATGCTTTGTTTTAGTGGAATCTTTCCACAATAGCAGAACATTGAACAAAGACTACACTGTTAATATTTTTTCACTTGGCATTATATTTACTCTGTCAAGTAAAGCAGAGTAAACTTCTGAACTAGTTTCAACTGTTTTCTAATTTTAATTTACTGCTTCTCAGTCTTTATTCTGCTTCAAAATATGCCAAAGTCCTCCCGGGTGCTAAAAGCAATAGACCAAAAGGAGAGTTAATTTGGTACCTTTCAGAGCACAGAGGCATATTCTACTTCATACTGCAAGGCACAATTGCTAATGGATAGTTTCTGTCTCTGTTTCTCAAATATTTATACACAGGAATAGGAAAAGATGACCAGCGCAACCATTTATTATAGAGTAATACAAGCCCTTTCCAAGTTCATTAGAACTTTGAATCGGAACCTAATTTAGCAATTTTATGACGGGTATTAATTTTTTTCTCTGCAACTAATTAATTCCCATAGCGTTTTATACAGTAGTTCTTTTGGTAATTCCCACCAAAAAATGTTTCAATCAGGTGTCTAAATAATACTTATAAAATAAATGCTTTGGGTGCTATTATGCTGCAGATTTGTTGGGGTTTTTTTGATGGTTTTTTTTTTAAGTAGGGGTCAGATCATGTCATATAGTTACGGAATAGTTCTATTTCTTCTAAATGGAACCTCTTGTTCCATTTTGCATAGGTCAATTTGATATTAGTATCTCTCTTCATGGTTTAGATAAAAATTGTATTTTCTATCAAGGTGGCACTTCAAAAGAAAACATTTATTTTTTTTCACAGTTAGTTTATATTAGATATTGTTCATAACTTGACAGCTGTTAGAAAAATCCATATTCTGGATTCTTGGGGAGGAAGGCTGCACGTCATCTACTTAAAAAATTTGCTCCTGCTTTCCTCCTCTTCCCTAAAATGCATTGTAGAAGAGAAGTATATGCAAGTGGCTTACACATTGTATTTTGATCCTACAATGCCTCAAGTTTGATAGCATTTACAGGCAAGCCGTATCAGTGCCTTCCTCAAGTCTTTGGTGGCTAGGTGCACTGACATATTCTGCAGTAAACCTATGGTGACTGACTTCCACCTGTACAACGCAAGTTTGCAATCCTACAAGCATATAATCTGGGTGAATACCTTTAGATTGCTCTCTCCTTTGAGCAGAATTGTGATCCCCTGAGGTGGAAGCAATAGAATCAGTTATTACTTTATTTTGTAGCAGGGGTACAAGTGGTATACAGTGATAATATATCAATAGCTGTAATTCATTTGGTATTATTACAGTATGATCAAAGTGCAGAACAGCAAAGAGGAAGTGTGTCACCAGAACATGCTGGTGACCAGCTGAATTCGGTTCACTCAGTGATAGTGTGTGCTGGTTGACAAACCTTCTGGCTGGAGAGTGTGGTACTGCGTGCTTACGGCTTCCAGCATTTCTAAATACCTAGCTCCTGCTAAATTTTAGCTCTTTATACCTTTTTTCTTTTTCCCCAGCTCCTTTTGCTATTTTTTTCCCCTTCCAAAGTTCTAGAATTGGCTATCATGGTGTGGCTTCCCAGAAAGCAGAAACAGTTTGAAGTAAAATGATCCTTCTTTTAGATTGTGTTTTATGTTTACCCAACTCTTATATGGCTCTTTGTAGCTGCTACTACAAATATAATTGTTCTAACTAGATGCTATAAAGGCGTGATTTTTTTTTTGTGACAAAGTCGTACTGCATTTATGGCTGAATCATTATTCTTTTGGTTTTCCTGAAGTTTTATCTTTTTATGTTTCTTTCAGAAAAACAATCCGTGCATTTGTCATGTTCAAATATCATACTTGTTTTAACCCCCTATGGAATACTTCTGCATTTCTGACTTCCTGTTTGTCCCTACTCTAACAGGAGTGATTCTCTGTTAGTGCTCTTTGCAGTCCGAAGCAGCAAACTGTCACAATAGCCAAAGTAAAAGTTCTGCCCTTGGTTAGGGGCAAATGCATTGTTCTAGGCAGCTTTTGACTGGTTTCCTAAATGTATATATGGCATGATAGATACAAATTATTATTTCATTATAAATACATCTTGGATTATTAGCAGGGCTGGGAAATATTTACAAATGAATTAAGGTGGGGTTGTATTTGGAAAAAGAAATGTCCTTAACAGCATGGTACTTCATAGTGCATAACTGAGGATTGCAGAAGTGGCATTTACTGGAAAACTGTACTTTGCTGGAATTCAGAGATTGCACAACTTGAATATCTCAATTACATTTACTACTTTGGAAAAACTCAAGTACAGTTGTTTGGGTTTATTTTCTTTCTGATGGCAGGTGGACAACCAGTTTGTAATGTGCTGCCTGGAGTACTAAATTATTTAGGATATTTGCCTTCTAATCTCTGTGTCTAGAGGGCTTTTAAAAAAGGTCTTTAATTTTGAGCTGGCCATTTGAAGTTCAATCTCATAAATATTATATGTCATATGCATCATGTTATTGTTTTGTCTGGTAATATACATGTGCTTAATTATTTTTCTAATTGAAAGGAAATTAATTTTTGGAGCAAGTGTATGAAAATACAGATTTTTAAAGACAGAGCTATTGCAGATTTTCTGCATTGAAATGTGCTTTGGCCTGTGTTTTTTCTTCAAGAGATATTGCTGACATACAAATAACAATCCTAAAAATACACAGGTATGAGCCATATTCATCCCTAATATGACCTTAGTAAGTAGGCAGTGGGTTTTAAACTCCTGTGATTGAAGGGCCCCCTAACAGTTTTCCCGTGGAGGCACAGAATCCTATGCAAATTGTTTGAATATGCTGAAAGGGGACTTGCTTTTCTAAGTTATCCTGAGCGAAGCATGACAAGAGAACTGCAGACCACTGATTCTTTCAACCATGACTTGAAAACCACAGGAAGTAGTGGTGTTAATGCAGAGATCAGAATATTTTCTCCCACTTACTTGGTTTTATTAGATGTTTACAGAGCTTTTCCAAGAATGAAGTACAGAAAAAAAATTGATTTCTAAGAAATCTTGGAAAGTTTTCTTGTTAGTTTAATGATCTTCATAGTTGTCCCACTTACAAATAAGGTGTCCATGTCTTTATGCTTTTCTCGATAACTGCAAAGTATTAAGATCATTCCAGAATATTTTGAACTCCTGATTCAAAAAGCATTCAGGAAGGTAAGGAATGTTACCCACATTCATGAAGTTGTAAATGTGATTAAGTATTTTTGGCATTTATTCTTGGAAATAAAGCTAGTTGTGTGCTGGAGTATTTTGGAAACACTCTCTAAACCAGCAATTACTGTAGACTGAAGAAACTGTCATTTGAGAAATGATAAGAAATCACTTACTAGCAATTTACATCTTTAATTCCCAAAAGCTGAACTCCTACACAGAATCTTTGGTGTGAAGATACACTAATCAGCAGATAGTACTGAGCAGCTGCAAGGAGAATGTGCTTTCACTACTTACCATTTACTCTAGGCAATAAAGAAACAAATGTGAATGCACAATACATGAATTAAAAATACAACTGGTAAACCTTAGAGAACAGGTACAAAATAAGATGGTGTGAACTATTTTAACAGTTAACCTTTCCTTTTGCCTTCTGTAGTTTCAGAGTAACTTTGCTTTCATATTGCAGTACTTTTGATAATGCCAACAGGCATTCGAAATCTCATTTCCATTTTTTTTGCTCTTACTAGGAACTCTTCAGAGAACAGGGTCAAATTTCTGGCAATGTGGAAGATAGGTGGAGCTGAGGCATACATTGCCTCTGCGGGTGATAAGAAAGTTATGTACCTATCTTACATTTACAAATTGAAGAAGCTCATGGAAATACTGTGTTGGGCATCTGTTGATGAACCATCACGAGGAGGAAATTCATGTCTTTGTACAGGATTACGACCAAGACCACGTATATGAAATGAAAATACCAGTGAGTCTAATTTTGAAGCTGAAGTGAGACTTTCATAGTGTGTGGACATGGTGCTAGCTCTCTTCACAAGGATTAAAATGCATGATACATCATCTGTGATGTCTTCAGATAAAATAAAGTGTGTCGTAGCCCGTGTTCATGCCTATTTGACTGGTGGAGTAAAGCTCAGTTGTGTAGAAATGTGAGACTCAAGAATTACAAACAAAGCAATTTTAGACAATACTACATTCTCGACTTGAACTAATATGCTACCACCTACTTTCATTTTCACCATTAAAGAGGAAGCATTTTGCTTTTGTCATGAATAAATATAATTAATAAAATAATAGAATACAAGTCTTTCTTACTGGCAAAGAAGTATACACACATTTACATGGAATGCTTTCACATATATACATTTATATAATTTACTTGAACACAACTAAAAGAAAAAAAAGGGGGGGGCCATGAAACGCAAACCCAGCTATTTAAGAAGTGCCAGAAAAGAAGCCCTGCTCAAATGGCCCTTGTGAATAACTCAATGGTTGTAATTTTGTATTAGCTCTGGCACTGAAAATACAGCCACAGAATATATTTGCTTAGTAAAAGATATATATTTTCCCATTTATTTGTGCATTATAATGAACTCAGCCCAGTACTGAGAGCCACCCCAAAGCCTCTGCACCACTTAAAGTCCTACTTAACCCTTATTTTAGGAATTTAAATGGAACTGAAGTAGTGCCTGACTTAAGTGAGGTCTCAAGGCAGGTGTGAACTTAACTTTTAATCCATCTTTCACCAAAATCACCAGCATTGTCCTGTTGCTTTCCACAACAAAATCATTACATGCATAGTTATTTTTAATTCTTTTGAGCTTAGAACAAGAACCTCAGAAATAGGAAGAGAAATAAAGGTCATGTTTTAGAATTTGACCTTCAATCCCTGAGAATTTATTCTGTTTTTCTTTATAGTGTGAATAGAAAGTCCCTTACATGGAGGAAAGCTTTTTGAGAACTTAAGCTTGCAGTTTGGTTGTTAAACAAAACTTGAAAATAGCCAAGAATAGCCTGTTAGTATAGTCCTCCATTTCAAATACTTTTGCTTCAAATAATAAAGGAGCCTCTGCCTCCTGTTTTAAAAAAGAATATGAGCATTCAGACAAGATTTACATTGTTTCATAGTTCTAAAAAGTTGTTATTTCACTCTCTCACAAGCATGGTTTGAATCAAGAATTAGAGTTCTTAGTTTAGATCTGTATTCAAACAGAAATCAGTCAGGCCACTTAAAATGTTTAAAGTTAAACGTATGCTTATATATTTGACTGTGTTGTGCAAAGAAATCGACACCGACTTTAAGTTACACTTTGTCTTTAAAAACTGCTTGCCTACCACTGTTAGCAATTGCATCTCTACTAACTACAATTGGAAAGGTTTTAAGGAAAAACAACTATTGTCTTTGTCAATCTACTTCTTTAGTTAACTTGAAAACACTTCTTTTACAGTCAGTTTACTGTTTCCATTTATTGAGGTCTTACACAGTTTATTTAAGTCTTTCCATGGCCAGAAGGGAGACAAAAACACTTAAAACATGATTGTGGAATAGGATGTACTGGAAAGAAAATGGGAAGGCAAGTATAATGTTCAAGTGACACTGACTTTCAAACTCATTTGTTAAAACTGAATAGTTCTTGAGCTGTTGCTAATGCTTCAAATGATTTCTATGTCTAAATTATGTCAGGATGTGGGAAAGAAATTTGAAGACATCTAGTGGTTATTTTAAGGAAAGCAACTGAGAAAATAGGAAGCTTAGCTTGAAATATTATTGATTTCAACACTGACAGGATTAGGCCACAGGAATTCAGATAGTTGAAAGTGGGTATTTTCTACTAGGCAAGTTTGGATTGAATCCCTCTTCTGAAGTGTGTTTTCAGTAACTGCTGGTTTGCATGGAAAATTAGCAAACAGGCCACACAACTGCTGAAACATTGCACATGGTATATATGAAAGATTTATGAGCAACACAGAAAATGGGGAATTATTTGTTGTTTCACTGAGAGCTACTCAATACTCACTACTTTGATTGTACAGTAATTATTATGCACTCTTTTTGCAAGGTAAGTAAGATGCAGTATACTGTCATTGCTGCATCTCAAGTGTTACTTTTTTTACCATTTTTGCACATTTTCTCCAAAGATATCACATACCTGCTACAGGGTCACACTGCTATGGTCTTATGTATGTAGTATGGTTACATGTGAGAGCAAGATAATTATAATCTGGCTGTTACTTTTTAAGCATCTTCACTGGTTTTGTTTTGTTTGGTTTTTTTTTTTTTAAAGTATGCTGTGTATTTTGAATATAATCACAATGAAGAAAAGGTGGGTACCATAAGTTATTTAATACTCCCAGTGTATGAGTAGAACAATAACTAGTGTCAGGTCAGCATGGTTTGATACTTACAGCAGAGGAAATAAAGCAAGGTTCTTGTCAGGTCGCAGACCTGGAAACTTCAGGTCTACTTGTACCGTTCTGTGTGACTTGGCTCAAGCCATGTTGCTTCCTTGTGCCTGTGTTTTCTCACCTACTGATTTTCTATTTTTGTTGCCTTTTCCTACTGAAAGCTTCCTGCTTTAGGCACAGGTCTACTTTCTGTACAGTGTTTAACCTGTCAGGGCCGAAGAGTCTTAATTCCTCTGAAGTTTCTGAGTTCTCATGTAGTGCAGATAATGTGCTCTTGTATACAAGTGATTATCGAGGGGAGGATCACAGAATATTTTTTTTTTCTTTAAATGTTTTACCTGACATTGTATTTTCATCCCACTCTCATGCCTATATCTTCAAAATTCCTTTCCAGTTTTGGGATCTGATGATGAGGTCACCAGCCAAATTCAGTAGTCACTATTGTCAAGCTCCTTTGACATTTTATAGGGTGTTTTACACAGGAAAGACTGGATTTGGCTGATGGAAATGACTAAAAAGTGGTTACTTCATATGCAACTTTTTCTGTTTATGAACTCTGGGGTAAATTATAGTTCTCTCTAGCGGAGGCTCACGCTGCAGAGAAGGTTCATAATGCAGTAGAGGAGGCATGCAGCTCATCAGGAATGGATGCTGATGCCTCTGACAGCTCAACATGCAGCAACTGCTGTGCTGAGATGGAGACATTATATTGGTTTTAACTATCTGCATAGATGACTATGGATCAGTATCTGCTCCTGTTTAATACACTCCTGCAACTTTATTCTACAGCAAGGGTCCTGTCCTTACAAACAGCTCTTGACAATGTCAGTGGCTAACTAAGGACTATTTATATGAATAGAACAGTCCCATGTGTTTGTTTCTTCCTGCAGTCCTTTCAAAATGACATCTTAATTAATCCGACACAGCACTTGTTACTCATATCCAGTAACCTCAGTTGTGGTTCAGTATGTGTCAGGTATGTATCTGTCAAGTTAATTCTGTACTGAGAAAGTAGTTGTGTTAGCAACAATACTCTTCTTGTCATGCATTGTTAAATAGGATTGAGTATCAACAAGCAAATGCATGTCAAGTCTTTGTCTCATGGATTTTAAATAGTTGTATATGTCAGTTAATGTGAAATGCTAGTTTTTCTACCCGAATGTAAAAGGAGCTAAATAGTTTCCTTGTTAGAAGAGGCATTCAGTAAAGGTCAGTGAACACTGTTCTTATTCCAGCTGAATTTGAATGGCTTTCCTGTTGCCCAAATAAAAATGCCTAAATGCTTGGAAGTGGAAAACGTTGCTTTAAACAGTATAGCTAAGGATTTGTTGTTGTTAACCTACGGAGCTTTTTGAGAATTGCCCACTATGTTGGCAAGTTACTGGACCATCATCTAAGAGATGTTAAAGGGGACAGGAATATGTTACAATTATGCAGCTCCACCTATAGTTCTGTTCAGTGTCACAATGCTTCCTAAATAGTGCAGATACCTAACAAGTAGTCGGTTCTTACGAAAGAAATGTAATTACTTTCATGTAAACGATTTTCCAGTTATATTCCACATCCTTCAATAACCTCCATAAAACAGAGAAATGAATGTTTATTTTCCATAGCAAATTCAGCGTAGAAGAGGGCTAGGTGAAATGACAGCATTGTATATTCTCATTTCCTCATGTGTAAATAAACAGTCATTCAGAGTACTCTACAAATAGCTGTCACTCAGCAATAGTACAGGTTCACACGTGTATTTTCAAACATGCCTAGGTGAAGTACACAGCTTGGTATGCCTAGTCACTTGGAGTTTAAGGATGCTCACCATCGATACCAGGCTATTACATTTACTTTTAAATCCTGTACACTAATGCCAGTCCTCGATGTTGAGAAAAAAATCAAGTCAGCACACACACTCATAAAACTGGGTCAAGTCACAAGCCTTCTTTTACAACTAGTGATTGTTCTCTATCTACCTTCTTGTGTCTGAGGCTTTAAACACAGCCAGCTCCCATTTTTAGATTCTTTTCTGCAGCCTTTAAGCTGACTTTTGTGTAGAAAAAAACTAAGAGCTCCAGGTAATTGCTTTTCTTGGGGAGAGTAGGGTAAAACAAAAAGAACCCCGTACTGTGTGTACTTATAAACTTCTGCATTTTAAGCTTTTCATTTTTCTTAATGATACTTTTGGTCATTTTCATCACAAATTTTGATTCTGTTTTCTCAGTTTAATACATTAAAATCCCAAAAGTTATCAAATGCTAGCTTCTTACTTTGACTGTCATGGAAACAGATTTTGCAAATGTGATATTGCCCTAGGCAAACTATGTTATCCATTTCAGTAATACATGGCCACAGCTTCCACATTTAGTATTTATCCTGTTTAAGTACTATCATCTTGTTAAAGTTATAATAATATATAATTGTTCTTTATGCTTTTTCGTGGTGCAAAACATTTGGATGAGGTAACTCCACAAAAAATATGTATTGCTGCTGTAATAGGGAAGGATCATTGTTTGGTTTTATTAATATACTTAAAAAGCAGAGCTTCCTTTAAAAATACATAGCTAAGCAACGAATGAAAAGTCTTTGCAGAATAACAGTGGAATTTATTGTGTTCTCTGGCACCATGTTTCCAGTAACTGGACTTGCTTTAGATTGCTGGAAAATTTATAATAGATGTTGATTGAGGTATAATACTGCTACAGCAAGCACTGCTCCAGGAGCTTCATGGAAAATGTGAAAAAATGAGATGAAATCCTAGCTCTGCGGTGTGCAAAACTCCCACCACCTTAATTGTGTCCAACTTTTCATTCAGTGGTTTTGAACTCGCCAGAAGATTCACAAATGTCCTGTGTGACCACATTTACCATTCAGCCGAGATCACTGGGGCTATAAATGATATTAACTGTGTACATAAGGTTTTGCATGATCGAGACCACAGCGTGCAGACAGAAGCCAAAATAAAGAATAGGCTGTCATCCATTTATTTGGAGTTGCACTTGTGCGAGTAAGAGTAGAATTTGGTTTTACAGTGCTGCACTTAGTGTTACTTACCTCAGTCAGACTTCTTGAGGGGAAAAACATTACCAGGTAGCTAGCACTGACGTGGAATGAGTGCAGTAACATGACTTTCCTTTGCCCAGGTGCTTCCTTTACCCTCACATGATTTCTTAAATCAATTCAATTTCTCATAGCATGTTTGCCTACAGTTGAGATCTCTAAATGATACGTGATTGCAAAATCTGAACAACTCTTTCAAACCTTCCTAACAGAAGACAAGTAAGTTTCCTTTTGTGGATTGCATGCTAATAAAATTATATTGGTGGACTTCAGATTTTAATCAATTCCTTTACTTTTAATTTAATGGATAACTACGTGTATCATTGCATTCTACAACATAGATGAAGCTGTTCTGTAAGGAAAAAAAGCCTATGTACAGTGCTTTTCATCCTGAACATATGCTGATGAATGTAACTGATCAGTGGCTGACTAACCTGACTAATTTCCATGGTTTCATTCAGCTTCACTCTTGAAATTCCTGTGGTCTGCTGAGCAAATAAAAAATATCCCAAATTTAAAACATGACCACCATGAAAGGTTTCCAAAAGATCAGACTTTTAATAGGATTTTTGCTGTTCATAGGCCCATACATTATGTAATTCAGAAAAAACCTATTTCTTCTGAGTCAGTCATATGCTGTAAGGAATCCTTGACAATAAGTAAATGAAATAAAAAGCCCTATATCAAACAAACAAACCAAACCAAACAAAACAAAAACATGACCAAAAAAAGATCAAACCAAAAAGACAACAGTAAACCAATAGGTTTTTGACAAGAAAATATTATAGTGAGAAGAAAAAAGTATACTCATGTTATTGATGATATGTGCTTATGAATAATTCAAGATATGCTGTATTTAGTTATTATGCTGAGGATATTATTAGGGTTGGCATTCTAGTGCTAAGTTAATTTGAGAAACAGTTAAATACTAGAGTTTAGTGAAAAAGTTCAATGGCAAACTCTTCAAAAATGTAGTTTTGTGGGTATTCAGTATTTTGGATAAGGCATGAGTTTCATCTGCAAGGAAAGGAAAGAGCAGAGATGCATGAAAACAGCCTGTCTTTTCATTATTTTGAGGGGGGTTGAATTAGAAATATTCATACTCCTGCCTGACAGTTTTCAAGCAAAACTTTGTGCTTTGAGTCAAAACAGCATTTTTCATTAACCCTGAGGGCAGGGGAAGTTAATGTAAAAATAGCGTATAGGTGACATAAAAATAGGAGGGGCTGCAGGTGATTTGACAGAGACAAAATTGACAGGTTCAAAGTTGACTTTTTAAAAGTTAGGAATGGTCTAGAAAACCAGAATTAAACGAGTAAGTTTTGTCTTCGTATGAATGTATATTCATCTTACACAGAAGTCCAAATCTTAGCAATGGGATGGACTAGAACTTTTCAAGTGCAAAATTACAGTGTAAACTTCTGATGTATATCCTGAAAGCCACAGCATAAGCACTCTTCCTCTGCCCTATTCAGCTATTTCCTTTAGGCAGAAATAGCTTCCTTTTTATGGGGCATAAACCATTACTGCTTAATCTAGGCTAAGTGCTATGTAAAATATGAGAATATTGATACAGGTGAGCACTAAAGGTGCACTCATGTCCACTGCATGAAAAGGTCTAAAGTTACTATCTTTGCAGTGTCCTCTTCAAATACGTATTAGCTGCTGAGGACTTTTAACTTGCATCATTCACTGTCTTTTTATTTTTGTTTTACAGAGAAATGGTTAATGCATGGTTTGCTGAGAGAGTTCACACCATCCCAGTCTGCAAGGAGGGAACCAAGTCCCAGAGTGAATCCTGTGCTTGTCACCAGCCTGTCTGTGCCGAGACCACCAACCCTGGGACCCCAGTGAGGAAAATCTCTGCTTCTGAATTTGACAGACCCTTAAGGCCGATATTTGTCAAGGACTCAGTAGGAGCAGTGAGCTTCCTTTCCGGCTCTGAAAAGAAGGAACAGATGCCTCTGCAATCTCCAAGAACTGAGACCAGTGCAGGGGATCAGTGCTCAAGACTATTAGAACTTGTGAAAGATATTTCTAGTCACTTAGATGTCACAGCACTGTGCCATAAAATTTTCCTACATATTCATGAGCTTATAGCAGCCGATCGCTATTCCCTCTTTTTGGTCTGTGAGGACAGCTCTAATGAGAAGTTTCTTGTAAGCCGACTGTTTGACGTGGCAGAAGGCTCCACCCTTGAAGAAGCTTCCAACAGCTGCATTCGCCTGGAGTGGAACAAGGGCATTGTTGGGCACGTGGCAGCTATAGGCCAACCTCTGAACATCAAGAATGCCTATGAGGTAAACTGAGAAAATTCATCTTGAAAAATTCTTGAAAAAAGAAAAAGCCATATTATCAGCTGTTGTGATATTGCTATTTTAGTACATGTATTTGGAGCTATAGTGACTTAAACCAGTCAAGATGCAAACCTGATACCATGCTTCTGGTTAGAATGTGTGTATTATAGATACATGCATATGCAGAAATACGTAGCTATGACTAGCTAACATCAAAATAAATTATGTAAGTTTGACATCAGTAGTCAGATACCAGCCCCATCTTAACCTGCTAAATGCACACCAGTATTTGCATTTCTATCTTCGGACACTTAAATGATTACATTTCTGCTTGTGTAAGGACATAAGATGCTTCTGAACCAAAATGAATTAAATTGTGAGTGGAGTTGTCTGCAAAACTGGAGTCCTGTGACTAAAACTGCTTTGAAGAGTTTTATCATACCTGAGGCACAAAGAGTAGGAGCTGAATGACCAAGAACAGGGTAAGGGTTTGAACTCTATAGAGGTCTCCCAAACAAAATGATACTCTGTGATTTATGGCCAGATGAAAAAAAGAAGAGAATCCAGTACTGGGAGAGGATATCTCTTACATCTCAGCTTAATATCTCTTAATTTGAGGCTCTTTGGATATGCTCATACTGTGTTTTGAATTTAGGGAAATTTTAATTAACTAACTAATCAGTAAAGGCATACAGAGCTGAAAATTACTGCTTCATATCTCAGTTAATCTGAGCATGTTTACAGAACTAGGTAACATTACTGAGTGGATTTTTTCAGAAGCAAAAAAGAGCGCTTTGATTTCATATGGGTTTATTTTCAATGCTTGTTTGCTGCCTCAGAAACTGTCTAAAAATTTGCTAAGTACATGTTTCCAGCAGGACATCACCTCTACTGATGGTTTAAAAGTTTTCATTCTTGAATTGGGTCCATCATGCTCAACTTGAAATTACCTACTAGAGAAAGAACAGCAGCCTTTAGAAACAGTCTGATTTATTTTATTGAGTGAAAAAAAAATAAATCTGAGTTTTATAACAATACTCCACTGAAAAAAATGAAACAAGCACTCTGTGGTAAAAGCAAAAACACTAGCACCTTCATGAAACTTTGTTCCTCTATGGACTTAGGTCTTTCAGTGTATTTGTGTAATTTCTTCTTGATGATAAAAGCTATACCAGGGATGTTCAGTCCATGTATATATTTATTATAATGATGGTCTAGGCTTGAAAAAGGCTTCTCCTAGGGTTGGGTGTTTTGGTTTTTTTCTGTTCTTTCTGGCAGTTAAATTTATTCACATACATGCTTTTTTGTTGTTTTAACACATTGATAGTAACAACGTTATATAATTATTAGCTAGTAAGGGAGCCTTTGTTATCCTGGGTAACATTTAAGTGAAATATTATACTTTTCCTAACCTTTAAACCAGGATAGACAAAGAACTGGTCTATAGGCAAGTAGTCAAATGATACTGGTTTTTTTCTTGTACCAGGATCCAAGATTCAATGCAGAAGTTGACCAGATCACAGGGTATAAGACTCAGAGTATTCTCTGCATGCCAATAAAGAATCACAGGGAAGAGGTAAGTTGCAGTATTGAGATTACTTCATGTAATACTGTTTCCAGATATGCTAATGCTTTAAACTTTTATTAGCTGGTCATTACAGTCATTATCTTACAGTATAAAAGCACCTCTTTTATTTTTAAAAAAAGACTGCTTATGTTTGCTTGGAATTTAATAATGTCATATCTAAATTTGGTAATGTAAGATAAGCTGAAGGGAATTGTCAAGAAGATTTTAATCCCAGATGCAGAAGCAGAATATATGTATTTAACTCTAGAAGTGCTGTTCCCCATTCCTGTACCAAGTATGTCAGCATTATAGCTCTCTGCACGCTTATGTGTCTTATCTCAGTGCTTGCTCAGATTGCATTTAAGAGTTACTGTACTTCAGCTTAGCTTGTATCTACATTATTTCTTTAGAGGACACAAATTAGGTTTTACCATTGTTTAAAAGGCTGGATTTTACATTCTATTAATTTATTACTTAAGAGCTGAGTTAAGAAATATGTTAAGTGCTTAACATCAGGCATTGGAAAATACATGGTATCGATGTGATACAGAGAATTTATCCACAAGTAATGTAACTTACATCACTCCTAATTTAAAACAATGTGAATGTGATCATCAAACACTTGTACATATTTCCCATCCATGCTACTTCTCATGGAAGTTCTCTCTTCCTGTCTGATGCTATTACAGTAGGGAGAATTCTTATTAAGGACTAATGATGTCTTGCACTGAGTATTTGATGAGTGAGTTCAGTATAGTCAATGAAAGCCAATGAACGGGAAAAAAGTGAGGCCCACTGTTTTACTTAGGGATTATGTATAAGTTAGTCTGGGTTTTTTTGATTCTGAACATAGTAGCCTTCAGCCACATCTCTAGTTCTTAGAATGCTCACAAAGTGTAAGGTGCTCTGTAGCATGTGTCAGAGCTTTAAGATGGACATTTTCTCTACTGTAATTCCTTTATTTTTTCCAGAGTATTTATAGTTTGTGTCCAGAAAGCTCAAACTCCAAAAAGAAATGCTGCAAAGATTGTTTGAAGACATCATACCTTCGTTTTCTTGCTCTTCCATCTTTCACTCTTACGGAATCAAAGAATCATAGATCGTAGAATAGTTAGGGTTGGAAAGGACCTTAAAATCATCTAGTTCCAACCCCCCTGCCATGAGCACCTTGATTCTGACTGCACTCAACCTTTTTTCATTAAATAAATTGATTAAACTCTTGATTCAACTTGTTTGTTGAATCTTACTCTAGCTGACCCAGATGATCAGCCAGAACTTTCTTTTTTCACCTACTGCTAATTTTGGTTTAAGATATCTTTTTCAGTTCTTCCAAGGACAGCATTTGATCCTCTCCTACTCGTGCTTAAACAACTTCTCCTTTCTAACCGGCAGCAGCCACTGCTGGCCCTGGGCCAGCTGATGAGCAAAGCAGATGTTGTATGTAGTGCTATCGGGGACCAGTGATCCATGTCAGCCTGATGAAAGGCTTTAAATTTCACCTACTCCATCACGTTTACTTTCTGTTGAAAAAAGTGCTATTCTCTATGTAATTGGGATCAGGAATAAATGACAAGATCATGCTAGCCAGGGAGTGTGAAAGTAGTTACTTCTCACCGGGTCATGCTGGTAGGTGGGGAAAGGAGTAAGAGCTGTACTATGTTGGTCCAACACACCATGACTTACAGGCTGAATAAACCTGCAATTGGCCATATCTTCAGCTAGCTTTCTACTCCTAAGTGCATCAGCAAGTGGAAATGAAGCAGGAATTGGTTTATTTTGAAAAGTTCAGCCAACCTTCAGTCTGAGGAGCATGTAACACTCCACTCATGCAGTAATTTGAAGGGGCCAAATGATGAAATTTCTCCTGGGAAAGGATGGCACTTCTAAAGTTTTTTTCCGATTTTAAAGTCTCTACCAGAAGGTTTTTCTCCCTCTCACCATAACAAATGGCTGACATGTTTCTGGAGAGATGTGAGAGTCAGCCAGTCAGTCCTTAATTTGCCATTTGTATTCTGCTGCTTCTTCTGTTTAAACCTCCTCTCTGCCTTCCCCCACCCCCTGCCAAGAAAATGCAAAACGAAACTAGCTCCTCCCTGTTAAAAAATAAGATAAAATAAAACAAAAAAGATAAGATTTAAAAATCTTCAAAGCTCCTCTAGTAATGCTGAGACTAGTAAATGCTGCCTTAGCCCAGGATACCAGCAACAACAGTCAAAAAATTATTTGGGAAGACATCAAAAAGTAAACACTGAGAAAGAGAAGCAACTGGGGTTTTGTATGTGTGTGTGTTTGTTTAGTATTAGTACTATTTCTTTTTTAAACAAAAGAGTCAGTAGTTGAAAGGAAGAAAATCTCATGCTGATTATTAAATCCTCTGGGCCTGCTAAAGTATGGAGGTTTTTCCAGTAGATGGTTTTCACATTTGCCTATATTTCCATGAGGCATGTGAGAAACTAAAGTCTTACTTAAAAATAACAGCTAGTAAAAAATTCCATAGATGAAAAGAAGAAAACAGTTTGATTCACAGAAGAGCTCATAAAAAGGACCCAGGAACTAGTATCAATGAGAAAAAAGCAGTGCAACAAGTGGACTTTAACTCCACACAGTTGCGCATGAAGAATGGAATTAAGTCCACTTAATAGTAAAAGAGCTTTTCTCAATCCTCTACTTGACCTATTCTTGCTGACAGAAATGCCACAGACACACTGCATTTCAGATGCAGAAAATTCTGCTGGTTATGTCCTTTAAGATCAGATCATAGAGGCTTACATAGTGCCAGCTTTACGAAGAGTTCTCATTTTCCCATGAAAAATTACAATGCCGACTGACTGAGCTTTGCATCTCACTTCAGGGGCTTTGAACAAACTCCCGGTATCTGTAAACCCCTGCAGCACAATCTCTAATAACTAAACAGGAATTCTTTCAATCCCATCATATGGATTGAAAGGATTACCAGGTGATGTTTCCCGGCATGAAAGGCTGTATCATTTACAGGTAATCACCACGGAAGAAAACAAGGAGGAAGAAAGGCCTTGGGTAACCTGAATTGTATTCTACTTAAAAAGAAAAACATAATGGTTCTAAGTCAAATAATTTAATCATCTGTTCCTCCATTTACATTTGTCATAAGGTGCATATGAAGCCATAGCAAAGACTCCATTTTGATCCTTGAAGGTTTTCTCTTCTGGTGATTCTTCTGTAAGAGCAGATATATATTTATTTCGATATCAGTATGTAAGACTTGCTACTTTGGTTGTTGACATGTATCAGAGAACACATCAAACCCTTCAAAACAGACCGTTATTTGTTTCCTCAGTAGTACAAAAGTCACGAATTAAAAGTTACTATTAGCCAGCCTGTACCACAGAGTTACCATGGTTATTTCTTTTGCAAGAGGACACTGGTATTGCTGGCCACAGGCTTTAGCTACAGCAGTTAATGCTAACCATTTCAGTGCTACAGTGCTTATACAGAAAACAAGGTCTTAACACTACAGGCAGAAGACCTCAGTTTGTGGCAGGTCAGCACTGTGTATCTCAAGCAGCTTTTCTTTCCTGGTGTGTCCTTAAACCTTTAATTTTTCAGAAGCTTCAAATACTACTCATGTACATTCTAGAGCTCCTCTAATAAAATCAGTAAATGCAGTGGCACTTTATTCTGATTTTGTTTGGTCTTAAATTCATTCCTTTCATTTTTTTTTTTCAGCTGTGCAAAATAATTTCCATAAATTTCATTTCAGTTTAATTTCTACTCAAATCTGTAGGGTTTTTTCATATGGGAACTTTTAGCTGAATTAACTGAGACCTAATCTCCCAGGCTCTGAGTGCGTACAGTTGAACTTCCTATTAATTGGCTAGGGAAATGTTTTATTCTGGCAATGCTCACTCTGATAGTTTAGTTTGTTGTTTACTTTGTCTTATCTCCAAGTCTTTGTCTTCCTATCTGCTGCTAGGAAGCTCTTTCCAACAAATCAGAGGTGCTACTCTATTTACAACAGCCTTTAAAAATATCCTGTTGAATTTTATTGTATAAAATATGTCCAGGCATGTTACTGTTAGCCAGCTAAGTTATTCTCTCCCACAGTGAACCCTTCAGGTATAATACATCCCAGTCACTGCAGTATAGCGTAGATCTAGCCAGTTGTCCTGGGTTCAGCTGTAACTTCAAGCAGCTAACTCAAGTTCCAGAAGCAGTCTTGCTGCAGGATTATGGAGATCAGTAATTTGCTTCTTGGGTGGATTTTCGGCTTATGTTGAGACATGTGTTATAGTAGCTAGACTGCTGGAAATCATGCAGGCTACTGCTGGCAGGAATGATAGAAGAGGATGTGAAAGTTTTGATGATTAAAATTGAAAGCCTGTAAATACAGTTCTGTCCCTGCAGGATAATTTTACAAGCTTGAATCAAACCCCTGCAAGACCAGGAGAGCAAAGTAAAGTTAAACCCACTTTTGTCTTCTCAATTGTGTATGTTCCCATCTTTAAAATGAGATACAAGTTGAGTTTCCCTCTTCCTGTTACCATTTCTTGTCTTACTGTAATTTTTCTTCATGTGCCAGCCAAGTAAATAAAAAACCAACCATATCTTTTTTCTGGAAGCAAAATCATACTACTTACATTTTTAAGTCAGCTGAAGTAAAAATACAAAGGGCACTAGTTGCCTGTAGAGCTGAACAGCTTTCACAGAGTTAGGCCTGTAATCATAATGTACAAAAAATTGCAGCATGAAGCAATCCAGATAAAATTCAGAGCACAGTCATTAGCACTGAAGTCATCAGTCATCACCTGCTGGGTAGTGCTCTTGGTAGCCTGCTACTTTTGGAGGCAAGAGTCAGCAATTGCAAGAAAATAGTAAAAATAAAGCTCTGATAATTAGAAGAAGTCTCTCCTGGTAATGTGGATCAGGCTTTATTAAATGGGATAACTGGTACAGATTGAGAAGAAAGATTACAGAAAAAGTCGCAACACTGGAAGATGGCCTGTGTTGCCAGCAAGAATGCAATTAGGAAAGCACTTTTCAGATGTGGTAAAAAGGTGTGGAACTCAGTAATTGTTGGAGGGCTTTTTTTCTCCCTTTCTGGGACTGATAGTAAGAGAACAATTCCATCATCAAAATTACTTTTTGTTTCATGGTGTATGTCTTTCTTTCGTGAACTGCATGGAAAATATCAAAGTACTTGGTTTCTGACCCAAGGGGAATTTTTCCAAATGACTTGAAAGAAAGCTGGACCACTAAGGCACTTTACATACAGCTTGTTCCTTTCTGCTCCCTCTTACGTGCTTTCAATACAGCAAACCTGGATGAAGGCTCTTGTTAGGAACTGCTTGACTACTGTAGATACACCTTGTTCTATAATCCCACCTACCTAGTCAGACTTGGAGTAAAGCTCATGAAAAAGACCACATAGCACTAAATAGCTCACTGATTACTTTAAACTGATTACATAAACTCACAGGTATCAAAGAATAAGCAGATAATCATTTCGGTCTTTCTTCTCCCTTAGTCTTGTTTTATTTCAATCCAGTCTTCTACCTTAAGCTTTTCTAGTGGTCATCCCCTTTTCCTAACTGTTTTTGTCCTCTTTCTTTCCTACTGGTTTTGACTTGGGTGACCAAGAAATACACAGGATAATTCTGCAGGCATAATAAGCGAATGACAAGAAATCAAACATACACATGATTTGCTTTTGTCCTAATTACATAATTACTTTAGTAACAGGAACAGATCCTCTAGAGTTTCCGACATCTCCTCCTAATTACCTGGTTGTAGACAAGACTCCAGTGGCTAAATAATATCATCCGAGATTTTACTCATTACTGTCTCTACACCACATTCTGTAGAATTTAGTGGAGTTTACTGGAATTTGTACTGCCATAAATGAGGACAGAATTTAGACCAGTTTAATTTTTAAAAGTGTTCTGCATGAAAAAAATGGCACACGCTACAAAGTTGTCTTTAAAAGCTTAGAATGCAACTGAAACAACAACAACAAAAAGGTTTGCATCTGCACAGAATTTTTATCATCATCAAGTCAAACGTGAATTTTTAGTAGGTTTATTCTCATTACTCCCTCCCTTTTCAGTTCAAAGTTTTTATTGAAAGATGTTGACAAAGATCTAAAAATGACCAAATGCTCTTGGAACACATGCCTTTGTTAATGTATCAGAAACCTGTAGTGCTAACGAAGGGAGCCTAATTAGTCTTTCTGCTATATTAATATTGTCCTCTAACTGGTTTTTTAGAGTTTTGTTTAAGCACCACAGACTTGCATTTCATGGCGAGGATATGTTTATAAAAGATGAAAGTGCTCACCTTCTGGATGCCTTAAGAAGCCTCTGACCTCATGGAAGTTGTCTTAGCTCATGCTGGATCAAAACTGAGTAAGATAATACAACTATAATAAAATACCCACAGCATGAGAAAAGGCCTAACTATTAAACTCTGCGCATGTAGGTTAACATAAACGCATACTGACTTGTGAAAGGATTCTAAGTCTGCTACAGAAGTACACAAGACTAGTTGTACATCATTACTACAATAAGAAAGTTCACAGGATAAGAAATATTCCTCACAGAAGTAAAGGAGAGGTTGACTGTGGGAAAAGCTGGGTTGTGTGGAATGGAGCTGACAGTTAAGCTTTATTTCAGACAGATGTTTTTGAGCCCACAGTTGGCAGTGATTCATGCTGCAGAACAATGACCTTATTTGTAACATTAGTATTTTGGGAAGGCTAGGCTGAGAGATAGTAAATTGTCTTCTTTTCCATTACAAAAGTAAAACTGTATGCCTTCCTTCAGTTTAGCAATTACAAATTTAGTGTTTAACAGTTAAATACAGCTTTTTAAATGTGCACACCACATAGTTTTCTCCCGATACCGTTTATCCCCCAAAAGCAATCTGAAAAAAGAACTATCATTCACACCTTGCACTGGTCTTACATTCCTTGGATCTCAAGCAAAGGAAGTTCTTTGCAGCTTTGTCAATAATTTGTTGTAAGTGTGCCAAAAAATCTGAAAAGAATCAGAAGCTTTGAATATACTTCATTGCTTCTTACCATGTAATCTTTCATGTTATGGTACAAGGCTAGATGGGCTTCATCTGTGCTAGCACATTCTAGCCTCTGAGTTTACTACAGAGCAGATTTACTGAGTTTAGCAGAAGATAATATCCAGCCATTTAAATAAATAAAAGGCCTAACTGTAAGGAAGTGCAGGGTTTTAGTGAATGATTTCCAGCTCCTCCCAGTTTCCAGCCTCCCTCTCCCACTGTTTGCTCTGGTGCTACTTGTTTCTTTCAGGTCTGCCTTAACCTAAATCCATTCCAGGTGCTGCTGTTCAGCTTGATACCATAAACTGTGGGCTTGCTTTCTGGGTACCAATATAAGTAATGGCTCAGATATAATTGTCCCCATCCTGCACTTGGCACCTTCCTCAGAAGGTACTATGGTACCTTTCACATCCATCCTGATAAACAGCATTGAGTTCACCCCACTCTCAATATCAGTTACAGAAACCTGTCATTACTCGCTGACAGTCAGAACATTCAATGATTTTTTTTTACTTTACAAATCAAGGAAACTATACTTTCTCCAATTCTTTTAAACCTAAAGTCAGATTAGTAATAATCAACAAAATATCAAAAGGAGTGGAAACATACTGAATTATATGAGGGAAAGGCTAAGGCCTTGAAATCCTATAATCTAAGAGATGTTTACTCATCAGAGAGAAACACTGTAATAATTTAATAGAGAACAAGAATGTGCATTAGTAATGTGTAGTATAATAAAACTAAATAACCTTTTACTAATGGAATGACAAAATGCTTGAGTTAGAAAACCTCTTATTTTCGTCTTATCAAAAGAGCAAGTCAGGGATCTCAACTAAAATTAGTCTGTCTCTCTTCCTGAAAGCCTTCCAATTTTAGTGTGCTGTAAAATTATGTAGTTAATTTATGGTTCAGAAAGAACAAGGATAAGTGCAGAATCTAGACGTTTAAGCTAGTTTACAGGACAGAGTGGTTACTGCCAGTATACAACGTGAATGACTGCAGTGGAGAATCTACAGAATTACTATCCCAGTGAATTAATTTTCTAGAGAAATGCTCACTTTCCCTTCGTACTGACTTGTATGAAATTCTCTTTAAATTCTTTTGCTTTCCTTGGGCTCTGAAAAACAGATCCAAATTACCACAGATGACGTCCGTGTTAGGTATGTAAGAGTAAGTCCAAAGCATCCACCCAGTTTCATTTTCCCCCAGATGTTAAGAGCTAGAGCCTGCATTAGAAACTGAAATCAGTACTAAGCAAAGATCTGGATTCTGCTTTCCTTGTTACAGGGAGTTCTGGGGTTTGCAGGGCAGACTGGTTTCCTGGGAGGCTCTCACCAGTGTGCAGAATTGAACTCCATGAAGAGTGGCAGTAACAAAAACATCATGCTTAAACAGCTCTGTTGTTCTCTTACATTCATTTTACTTTTTCAAAAATCTAAATCAACATGCTGGATCAAGAAATCATTTTTATTGCCTAACTATCCTCCAGTTACAAAAGCACTAGTAGCTTGGACTTCCATCGACTGTCCCTAAAGGGACTATTTTCTATTTTGTAAAAAACTATATTTTAAACTCCCAATTCATGGAATTATGTCTGGAAATTTGAAATCAAATTTTACCACAGGTTGTTTCTACACTAAAAAGCATCACCTGAAATATAACATAATTTAGACAGAACTTTGTAAGAATAAAACTAGATATGTAATCTGGCTTGGTTTATTGTCATAGAGATTCTATTTTCTTCCACTTAAATCCAAAAGGAGACAAGTCAATTAAGGAAGTAAATGGAACTGGTCTTTTGATGTCTTTAATACATAAATCATAGTAGTTGTTTCCTAGTTCAGGTAAATCCTTTTTGTTACTCTCTGTGCACTGAGTTACTTATGTGGGCAGCCTTAATTTATGAAGCTTCTTGGCTGGTGATCTTAGTACATTTGAAAGCTCAGACTTAAGCCACGTACCAAAAGCAGAAAGAACTACTTAACAGAAAGCCTTTAAAGTTGATCAGGGCATATGGATTTGCTTCTTAGGTCTATCACAGATGTCCTGCAGGACCTGTGAATGACTTTTTACCCTTTGCTTAGCTGCTCTACCTGTAAACCAGGATTCTTCCCTACCTTATGAGTTGCTCCATAGGGAAAATAAATAAAAATAGCATAGTATCAGCATGCCTTGGCAAGGACAGCCTAACTAACAGCTGAAGCATAACAAAGTAATCTCTTCTCGGTGTTGGTTTAATGTCATCTTAGTAAAAGCTTGCCTTTAAAAACATACTGAGTTTGAGTAACAAACTTGAGTCTGGCAGGAATACAACCTTCATATACTGTTTTTCAGCAGATGAAAATCCAGACAGATTCAGAGAGATACAAAATGCAAAAAGATCACTGTAGCCAAACTCCAGATCCGGTGAGGAGGCTATGTTTTGGCAATTCTGTCAGAGCTAGCAGGAAGGGTATTTCCTACACACACAAGCAGATGAACTTTAGAGAGAGCTGTTGCATAATCTGGCTTCTGACTGCAGAAGCATAAACTGTTGTAGTCTTTCTTGGTGAGGAATTGCTCCAATTTGTAGAATCAATTTTGGATCAAATCGACCCCTCTTCATAGAGTGTCCAGGACTCATGCCACTTGGTTTGGTTTTTTTTTCTCTATATATGTATATCAGGTTCATGCTCAGGTATACATAAGGAAAAAACAGGCTTAAATATCTTATCTAAATGTCAACCAAATGAATGCCTTTAATGATCATTTATAATCTTCTATAAATATGTACAGAAATAGAATCCAGAGACAGACTCCTAAAAATTACCTAATCACTCCATTTGGAATACACTAGGTTGTTGGTGTGGCTCAAGCAATCAATAAGAAATCTGGAATTGGCGGCACTTTCACGGAACAAGATGAAAAGGTATAAAAGCTGGACGTTTTTGTCTTTCCTGTTTTCCCAGGGGAATTGGGGAGGGGTATGTTACTACTTTTTGCACCGATCAGAAATTTTGAAGTTATTAAAAATTAAATATCTCTGAAAAAGTAATACTGCAGATTTATTTCTTTATGAGGCCAAATGTGGATGCGAAATAGTTTAATTTCTGGATCAGCATGGTATCTCTCATACATCTCTGAAACACAGGCTTACTCTACTGAGATGTACTATAAAGCAGTTTCATAAATTTCAGTCGACATAATTTTTTATTAATTGATTTCAACTTTCCTGGAATCCCCAACAAACGTATTTTGAATATCAAAAATATTTAAAATATTTACTTGATTCCTCTGAGCTGCTGCTTATATCAGTTCTACTTTTACCAGGATAAACTGTGAAGATCGTTTGCTTAAAAAAGGGATACAAGATTCTTGAGGAAATAACTGAAAAAATCCCCAAACCTGAATGTGTGGTTGCCAAAAATAACTAAAAAGTAACAATTAATACTTCAAAGTGAAACCAAAAAACTGCAGTAACTTATCTTTGAATAGAGTTAAGATGCTGTGAAACATTACCTTCACAAGGTCTGATGTTCATTTGTCTTTAGGATTTTGCCGCATATTTGGCATTTTGTGGAATTGTTCTTCATAACGCTCAATTGTATGAGACATCTTTACTTGAGAACAGGCGTAATCAGGTATGGTCAACAGGTTTGTCACAAGAGTACCGAAATTGCGGTGGTTGGCTAGTAATCACTGCCTGCTACCGATAGTTCTCATATGGTAGTTACTCCTTGGCTATTTTCAATTATTCTAATTGAACACTCTGTATCTCAGGTAAAGCTCTAACTAACTTGCACTGAGCAGTAGCTGGGCCCAGTCCACCTTGGGCTGTGAAAAGTGGACTGTGTAGGGGAAGAAGGTAAAGCTACATGTCAGAAAATTCATTTCCTGTCAATATGCTTCATATTGCCTGAAGTTACCCTGTGTCTCACTGTAAGTATTATACAATCAGAGGTGTACATGCTCCAGAGATTTCAGAAGAGTTATCCCTACAGCACAGTAGAGGTTATACAGATTGCTTTTTTAGTCTACTACAATAATAAATAGTCAGTAACCGTATTTTCAGTAATGATCAGATGGAAAACTGAATTTCCTTCTGATTAATGTAACTGTATTTTGCAGCCACCTTTATAACTGATGGGTTATTAATGCCAAGGATTTTATGGGAGAATATGTCTGCTATATACGGTATGAAAAGATTTTGGAGAAACAACTAGGCAGCAATTTCCAAGTGACTATCGGTGTTTCCAAATCGGTACAAATTTGGATAATCTTTTCAAATTGGCTAGATGCTTCTTTTGAGGGAAAAAAGAATATAGTATGTGCACACCTAAGCAGCTAAGTCCTTCAGTGACAGCTCGGAAATACAGCAGGCTCTATCTAAATGATGTTTTCACCAAATGAGTTCCTTAGGATCTGTTAGAATTACAACAGATAATAATTATGTTCAAAACTCCTAGGAAATGTAAATACTGCTGTTTCTAGAATGCACACACGAGCCACAGGAAACTGTTAGGTTTCCTAAAGACAAATAACTGTGTTTTTTGTATTTCTCAGGTTTCATTTGATGAACTGTTAATGCTTAAATCTATTCTATCTCTCTGACTGAAGACATCAGACAGCTAACTATGCTATTTATTTCTTTCATCAAGCATCAAACTGGCTATTATTTACTGTTATCTTGCAGTCTGTATGAGAGCCAAAATTTAATTTTGGTCACAGTCATACATGTTGACTTCCTTGATTCAGGCAAGAGGAAAAGAATCAAAGACAGCAGAAATTATAATTATTGCTTAAATCATAATTAGTCAAAATCTCACGAAAGACATTTTCCCCAGGTGCTTCTTGATCTCGCCAGTCTGATTTTTGAAGAGCAGCAGTCTTTGGAAGTGATTCTGAAGAAAATAGCTGCCACTATAATATCCTTCATGCAAGTGCAGAGGTGTACCATCTTCATAGTGGATGAAGATAGTACTGTGAGTATGTTTTTTTCTGAAGGCAGAAGTGTTTATTCCATGGGAGCAGCATGGGCTTCCCTCCATTCTGACTTAATAGTATTTCAAACCCATAGTATGTCCTGTTGCCTTTTTGTCCTCTACGTTTTCTTTTACAGTATCTGCTCAGGTTAGCTGTTGACTTGGGAGGCTTTGGTCTTTGTGTAGGCCAGACTGCCATTTTATGCAGCCATTCTGCATTGCCTTTTGGCAAACTCTGACTCTGAGCACTCTCAAACTCTTTCATATCTCATTTTCTTGGCTACGGGTGTATGATGGAAACAAGGAAAATGCTGGGGAGAAAAACAAGGTAGCCTTTGCTTCCTGTGCGTAATCAGTTTTGATAGCAGTTTATATTTCTTGAGTATGTCTAAGCAGGGAGTGTCCAAACAAGGTATCTATAAACAGATACATGACCTATCCTAAGCTTGTGGCTCACTGAAGCAAAGCAAAACTGCTTTGCAGTTCTCCCACCTCTGTTTCCTTCCTATTGAAAATAGGCAGCAGAACAAGGAGCAGGATACAATGCTGTATGCCTCAGTCTTGTACAGGTATTGCTAGTTTTACCTTTACTACTTGTTACAGATACAGGTGTAGTAAGATCTGGAAGTAAGGAAGCATTTCCAGGTTCTGTAACACAGAAATAACACACAGTACCTGTGATCATCTGCCACAATCCCATCTTTCACTGTAGAAGAGTTACTTGTGCACACAAGGTTACAGAAGAAGAATTTGTGTATTTTTTGTATTAACCTACCCACATTGTCCTTTCAAGTTAGGTAAACTCCAGCTCCTAGTTTGCAATCTGCAGTTTGAATCTTTAGTACAGAGAGAATCTAATTCTTCTCTACATTTACACTTCTCAACCGTTAAAAAAAGCTGGATGAAAAGCAGAGATCAGTCAATACGTTTAAAATGTTTTGATGTCCTTGCATGTCCAAGCAAAGCTGATCTAGAAGGTTAAAATAAAGAAGTTCTGCGTTGTCAGATTTGGCACAGCCTATAAATAGAGATTCAAGATTCAAGACACTTCAATAATATTTAAAGTTGTATCAAAAGGGATTTTTGTGGTAGGATCCTGTATGCTTGCTGCTAGATGAAGTTAAGTCTTGTGTCTTTGTTACAGAATAGGTTTTGATAACTGCAACAAGCCTTTCGTGAATACTGCTAGTCTAACGACAACCTGATACTCCTATATATTAATATATCCTCTTTGTATTCCAGGATTCATTTTCTAGTGTCTTTCACATGGAATCTGAGGAGTTAGAAGATTCAGCTGAAAATCTGAAGAGGTAAAACAATGAATTGAAACTTTTGTACATCCCAGCTGAATGTTGAAGAAACTATGATTTTTTTTTATTATTTTTTTTTTTTATAATAACAGACCTTATTTCCACTGGGTACCATGTATTACTGCTATTTTCACAGAGCAGGTTTTGCCCTGAAATGTACCTAGACAAGCACTATTGCCTTAAAAAGGTCTGAGCAGAACAGGAGAGCAGGGTCTGATCACTTTGTCTAAGTACATTGTATTGCAAGGGCAAACTATGGAAATGTGCAGAATGTCAGAAGTAAGCATCTAAGCTGGTGGGCTGCTCTAATACTGATCTGTAAATCTGCATAGATAACTGTGTTGTAGCCACATTAGCAGATACAAATCCTATTTATGATTTTAATCAATTATTTTAATCATTACTCATATTTCATAGATCGAGAAGCTGACTCAAAGAACATGACTGACAAAACCAAGAATAAAGTTCTAACTTTTTGAGAAACTATTATGAAGTTCAACTGGGAGGAAGGGAAAGATGTAAGAATAGTTGAATTGAAATAACCAGATTAAATAGTTTCTAAATCTAGCCCTGAACCTCAGTATTGAAATTTGAAAATTACTGTCTCCATTACTTTTCTCTGTCATCAAAAACAGTTGTTTCAAATAGTGTCAAAAGAGTGAGACACAGTTGTATATAAAATACACTACTCAAAGATAGGGTGCAGAGAGAAAATGGAGGTTTCTGTACCCCTTTGATCTTTTTGCAGTGAACATTTATTATATTAAATTTAATTCCATATATTGGAAAAATATGTCCAAAGTGTGTGGCTTGAACAACTAAAAACTGTTGAGCTGTAGAATAATTTTAGACAATGTGCAATGAGAAAGTACAGAGGGTACCACAGGCTAGTAAGATCCAGGGTGAAATACAGAAGTTCCCGGTTACCTCCTCTTCTACATCATGGGAGTGGTAAAGAGAATTTACCTTTCCTATTCATTATCCCTTTCATGGTTACTAGTTAATGGACTCAAAATGTAATTTACTGGCTGCATGCGCTCTCATTAAATTATTTCTCATAACTGATAGGAAAGAAATCTGGGAGGCTTAGTGCATATCTGAATCTTACACATCACATGTATCTTATAATTACAATTATATGCCGCGGACTGTACTATGGTTCTACCACTGGAGTTGGAACTTCTGCTATGCTTGAAGGGCACGATTTTGGGCAACACCAGAAATAGAACAACATGGATTAGATGGGAAGTACTACTTCACATAACAAATTTCAGGCTTATTATTTAACCATGGACCCTGATTCAAACCCCAAATCAGACCAGTTTTCAGAATTGTGGGGCATTGCCCTGTATAACCAACTTTGTGAAATAATGAATGAGCAATTTTCTTCCTCCAGCACTGTGAACATCCTTACACCAGCAGGATCACTAAAGCCAAGTCAAATGTCACAGAGAAATTACAGGAGCTTAAAGGGAATAGGTTTATTATTAGGACATATGTCCTTTTCCAAAGTAGGCAAGGGGTCCAAGAGAACTGAAATGCCTTAATTGAATACATTGTGGCTAAGAAAGTAGGTTGATTCTGTAAAGGTATTTTATGTCCTCCTTTGGAATAAACAGTTCTATTTCAGTAACAGAATCCCCATGCAACTGATTGTGCCTTTACTTTAGAACAAATTTGAAATGAACTTGAAACTTAGCAGAAAATTCACAAACATTACTTGCTGCACTCCATTTAAAGAATGTGAATTTCATCCAGTATTGATTTTACAGGTTTGTCAGATTTGTGAATGGAGTTTGTTTTCAAAATTTCTGTTTACTTCAATATAAACCCAATTGTTCATTCTTTATACTTCATCTGTATAAACTGTACTAATTTGTTTATTTCTTAAGTTTGGTGTTCAATGTTAATGTTGAATATTAAAGAAATGGTGAAACATATAAATCAATCCACTCTGTTTTGTGATGACAGCTGGATTAAGATACAGATTTGAACTCAATTCTGTTATATATCTATTGGTTATATCCTTTCCTCATACAGGAAAGATACTACAGTTACCTCCTTTGCATAATGAAATGACCCATTTTCATACTAAGGAAATAATAATAATATTGTATCCTTCAGGGACTGTGATACAAACAAAATCAATTATATGTATGCTCAGTATGTCAAGAATACAATGGAGCCTCTCAACATCCCAGATATCTACAAAGACAGAAGATTTCCCTGGACAGTACGTAAACTAAGATTAGATTTAAAATTCAGAAATGGAAAATGTATTTCTTTGTTTACCTTTCAAACCTTTTTTGTTTTCCCCGTATTATTTCTATTAATTTAATGGCCACAGTTAGTATTCTGCCAACACAAACGAAGGTACCTTTGCTTGCTAAAATTAACGATCAGTGAAGAAATAGTACAGGACCCACACAGTGGGCCAGGTGACCAGGGGAAGGATTTATCCCTATAGCCATTATTAAAAAAGCTTTATATTATTTTCTCAATAAATAGTGTGATGTGGAGAGCTTGCAATATGTTCTGCGGAAAACGCTGAAGTGAGGAAAGTTGGAGGTCTTCATAGTAATCCTCAGTAGTTTACTGTGAGTGTTGGGAGACTCCCATAAGTTCCTTCCCTTTTATCCTCTCCCTTCCCTTCTTGTTCTGGCAAAGGTTAATTTTCTTTGCTGCTTTGGAGAGAGAACAACTTCACTTTTCTTTGGGAGCTTTTGCTTCACGCTTCATCAAGTATGAGCTTGTGATACGGTATACTAACTGAACACACAGAGAGTAGTATGGTATACTACTGAAGTAACAGAGTCAGGAAGGAAGGTCACTTGGCAAGACTCAGACTACAGTCAGGTTGCCTTCAAAGTCATCATCAACAAAAAGCAAACTTGTAATTCTCTATTTTCCTGCCAATGCCAAAATTAGAAAGATGGCTGCTCTTACTACATTTAAGCCTGTTGGCTAGAGGGGCTCAGGGAGAGGATACTACTACATGCGAGAAGAGTTGGTATGATCGGCAGATAGCTCTCTACCTATCTCTGTTCTGAGATGCACAACGAAAAGCTCAGTGTTCAGTGTGATTGTTCCAGTAAGTGGAAAGAATGGGCAGGCTCATGGTGGGAAGCTGCGTTTTTTCCCTTTTTCCATGCGCAAGGTTTCACAGATGTTCTGGAATGGGTTTCTATGAAGGATTGAGCAATACAAAGCAATGTGAAGGAATTGAGTGCTCACCACTTTGCAGTACAGGGCCTAAAGTTATCTTAACTGCAGGAGGGGAAATAAAAACAGAATCAGGCAGATATACTGTATATATCAATATAGAGGTGATTATTTTGAAGACATGTTAAGATAAAATTAAGAGTCATCCGAACAACTGTGTGTCTACATAAGGCCTTGCACTTTGTCAGCAGGGTTAGAGTTCTTTTGCATTTTTCCCTGGAATCTAGATTACTTACATATTATGGATGTAAAAGAAACTTCTAAAAAGAAAATAATACTGGTGCTAGAAGGAATTTTGGATAATGTTTTTCAATATCCAGTTGCTCCACCACTGTGCAGGAGCTGTAGTTTTCCTACCTGTTGTTCTTTGGATCATAATTTGGTCTCCACTAAGGCCCCTTTCATTGTGTTGGTGGATTAATAAAGGCATCTCAAATGAAAAGGGTCAACGAAAATTTTAGTGCCACAAAATGCATAGTTACCTTAAAGTCAGGTAGTTACTCTTGTTTTATGACACCTGTTCTCTGTTCCTTACATTGCCGTATTGCAAGGAAAGGGGAAAGGTCAATTCCTTTTACAGCTCATCACTTGATTAGAGTAAAAAAGGTGTCCCAAAGCCCATCTGGTCTCTTTTCAGCTGCACTGAGTGGAACCCTTTGTAATTTTCATGGAAGTGGTACCTTCTTATAAAAGAATCTATTATAAAATTAGCACATTGTTAGCACAATTACACAAGCCACTGTAAACTCCTACTGAATCAAGATTATCATCATCATGTTTTTTTATTATTCACCAAAGCTTGTATCAGATACAGTGTTTATTATACTGTCCAGCCAAAGATGTGCAAACTCTCTGAACACATAGTTTACTTTTGAAGGACTATGTAAGCCAAGAATAGCTGTAGATCCCAGCTCTACAACTTCCTCTCTTCAGCCACTTAATATTAGTCTTTCAAATTATAACTGTATTTTTTTGTTTGTTTAACAGAATGACAATGCAGAAAATGTAAGTCAACACATAAAGAGTTTGCTGTGTACACCAATAAAAAACGGGAAAAAAAATAAAGTGATTGGTAGGTATCTTTACAAAAAATATCTTTATACATTTCATAGAAATATTTCTGTGCTCCACTGTAAAATCTAAGCAACATGGAATCTCAACCCAGGAAAATCCATCCTTAATCATCATGTTTTCACGTCTGCTGCAACCTTGACTGTAAATTGCTTCCCTAATGAGTTACCAAGTATGTAGAGTGCTTTTGTGATACTTCACTGTTTTTGTATGTGCAATCAAAAATTTTCTGTAAGTAAAATTATTTTCATTGCTTCCTGTTCAGAAAGTCAGTTACCCCTATTGCTTGTGCAGATCTTTTTACAAGGCAGTGAAAGGAAGAGAAGACCTAAATCAGTAAATAAGCTCTTCAGGCCTGAGTTGTCTGTAGCGCTGGGCTTTTAGGGAACAGTGGTAGCATGGGGAAGGATGAGCTGAACTGCACAAACATTGACAGTTTCCTGAAATGAGACTCAGCTATGCAAAGATTCATACATTAGAAGGTCAGCTGCTGTGCCATTTTGGTGCTACTGACTGCCCTTTGGAGCTGCCTGCTTCTATCTCTGGATTACACTGGGAGCCTGTAGTCCTATTGTAAGACAATAGGTTTAAGTGTCTAAAGCTACTCAGTGTAAATATCTCTGCAGCATCGCCTTCATTTTAATAGAACTACTTTTCTTCTAATTTAAAGAGTGGCCATAGTACTACTGGTTTCTTGGTGTAGCATTTTCAGAAGTAATTTGACATGATTTAGGCCTAGATGCTTATGGAAACTTAGAAGTCTAGCTATCTCTAGTTCCCTAAATCTTTTAGGTGGCTGTGGTCTGGGTCCTCAGAGATAAGTAACACCTAAATAGTTTTGAGCATCTGATCAGGGAATAAACTTAAGTCTTGCACTGAGTTTCAGATTCACCTTAAACATAGGGATGATGATGCTTTTGGAAATTACCAGGACTTTCCAATCCCATGAAGACTAGAATGTGTATCAGCCCTCTTTCCTGGCACCAGTAAGTTCCAGAAGCAGGCAGAACATAATATATACTGATTCCTAGATAGCAGCATGAATCCAGCTTCCTCAGCTTAGAAAACATTTGGCAAGTAAATGTTAAGAGTTCCAAGAATGCATTTTTAATGGTCTTGAAATAATTTTTCTTGAGAATTGTGGCAAAACTGCATAATCCAAGGTATATGGCAAATATGAGGTCCCTTTTCCACGAAGACAGATTTTTTTTAGTTTTTTTTTTTTAAACTCCAGGAGCAGAAAGAGAAGAATCATCTTTACCTGATGGAGTTCTCTGAAATTTCTTTTTATATCAGCTTCTTTAATGAGTTCTGTTATTACTTTGTTTAAATATTCTGCCAGACCCTAGAAGACCAAGATAAAAGATTGAACTGTTGAACTTTTAATTAGAGATATCTCATTGTGCTATTAGTACTGATAAGACAGTCACATCTGATCTCATGTATTTTTTTCTACTGTTATTTTCTGCGGAAGTTCAAACTGAAAGTTTCAGTCAGGCCACCCATTTAGGTAGGTGTTCCAAGTCTGAGTAATTCTCACTGGGAAATGTTCCTTAAATTCTTTTAAGGTTTCACAGCCTGCTTAATGTTCAGATCTATAACAGGTCAAGGTTAACAAGCTGTCTTCGGGACAATACCCAGAAGTTCCTTTAGCATACTATGTACTATGTAATACAGACTATTATTATAAGTCTACTTTTTCATTTTTAATATTTAGATTTTCATTTCATTTACCAGAATGTGGTAAGTACGCTGTGCAGATGGGCATCGGGTAGGAAAAACTGTCCACAGCAAAACTGAGCAAATCTTACTGACAAGAAAGATGAAAAGAACTTTTTCATTCTCCCATCTTTCTGTTGTTTTACAACTATGTCCAAATAAAAGACTTCTGAGTTTCTTTAACTGTAATGTATGGGCCACTCAATGCTTTGGGGAAGCTTCTGAAAAGATTAGAGTCTTAAGTACTACACAGTATATTTCCTGCAGTTCCCCCATTATTTTTTTTTAAGAGACATTTACATGTATCCAAATACTGTGTCTTCTAAGAATTCTTTTGGCTTTGTGGCTTATTCACTGTTGAGTCTTAATTTTGTGTTCATTCCATCACAGTTGCTATGGAAATAATTAGAATGTCATAAACAGTACTAAACAGAGGTCTGAAAGTGAGTTTCATGACATTTTGTTATAGACTTTTTTAAGTCAGCCTCTTTTTCCCAGGGGAAGTTAATCTTGCTCTTTGTTAATCTTTATTTGCTGGGATTATGTATTTTTACTATTATTCAAGTATCTAATAATCTCATTCCAAAAAGGTTCAGAATCCTGTTTGCAGTATTCATTTACCACAACCCTTGCCACAACTGTTTACAACTACAGTTATAATATTCATACTGATCTCTTTAGGGGTGACTTTTATGGTAAAGTAAGTTCCCCAAACAGAATGTAGTTTGGAAACAAGACAGTGTTACATTGTCAACAGACATTAAACTTCTACATGCAACACCAGTGTTCTTCTAAAACACAGTTTATATGTGACCAGGAAAATGCTAGCTTTTATGCTTGAAAGCGTTAGTACTCACAAGACTAAGAAAATATTTGGACTCATTTAAGAGAATAATCACCCACAGAGCAGTTTTGGCCAAAGAAGACAACCTATACTTACAGAGCAGCAGCTTTAATTAATACTCCGATTTCTTAGCAGAAACTGCCACCCGCTAGGTAAAACTGAAGTGAGGTATATGTGTGAATTTCCCTCTGCTTAAAAATGGGGTTAAGTATTTAAGCTGCAGCAAGGTTTGGTAGAAGTTACCTGTCAATGGCATGTGCACATCAAAGTCCAGAAATTCTTAACAGAAAATAAACAGATGGAACTATCAACAAGTTTGAACCTAACAAGTAGAATTCAGTAAGATGCTTTTCAGTGAGGTCAGCAGTCTTTGGAGCAGGCTGTATTTCAATCACATCCTCATAGAATCGGCGAGTATACTTCAGCGTTGATCCTCAACTTGGGTATCTCTCTTTAGTTCATTTATTTTAAAAAATTTCCAGTACTGATTCAAGTAAGGAAGTGAAAACTCTGTGTATCACTGTTCTGACTTTCATAAATGTTCTTTTGGCGTGGTTACAAAAGCCTAATTAGCCTCTAAAGGACAAATTGTCTTCAGGGATTAAATCAATCTAGAATACTATTAATAATAAAATGACCCTGGAATTTCACAAGATAATCAAGTCTGTAAAGTTCCACATTTGTGTTTTACAAATCCTAATAAATACTTTTGAATCTACTAAGTAATATAGAACGTTTTAGCATTTACTCTATAATACAATGAAATTACTTTAAAAAAAATCTGGGGAAAATCCTGTAGCACTCCTGTGTGTCACCTTTATGTCTATTGCTGGTTTACACTGTAGGCTAAGCTGTTGTAACCTTAATTTTTCTCTTGATGTTCCATACAATAGCTTGTATGTTGGCAGTTCTCTGTTTTACATCTTTTAATTTCTGTATCCTGGCACAGGGGTTTGCCAACTTGTGAATAAGATGGAAGAAAACTCGGGCAAAATCAAGGCTTTCAACAGAAATGATGAACAGTTCCTGGAAGCGTTTGTCATCTTTTGTGGCTTGGGGATTCAGAATACACAGATGTATGAAGCTGTAGAAAGAGCCATGGCCAAACAAATGGTGACACTGGAGGTGAGCTCAATATCTAGGTGGTCTTTCATTAGCCCAGATGGACCCTAAGTGCCTCCAGGCTCTGTCTGTTCTACACAGAAGTGCAGCTATTTGCATGGATACTGAACAGAAATTGTTCTCCCCTACAAAAACAGCATTTGGCCTGTTGAGTTGCACAGGAATTTTTCTGCTTGTTTCTGTATCTGCCAGCAGACTATTTAACTTGGTATTGTATTTTAAGTTCACTCATGAGATTTTGTGGTGAGCTGAATGCATCTTTTCCTCTACATGAGGCTACACATTGGCAACGTAGTGGCTTTGTTCTGTTGCGTAGGAAGAGGAAATAGTTTGGCGGATTAGGGGCTTCCTTTTCTTGTCTGAGGTTTTCTGTGATGATTTTGGCTCAGTCCTTTAGACAAACCGGTTTGTGTAGTAAAAGCAGCATTATTGTAGGTTTTCAGCAATTTCCTCATATGCCATCAAACCATATCAAGATGAACGTCATTTGGTCTCAGCCTTTGAATTGGTTACTGTTAAGTTTAATAGCTAAAGAGGGCTTCAGTCTGAGAAGCTGAGTTGCTTGGAGGTGGTAACTTGAAGTTGAAAGTGAAAAATTTGTAGACTTCGGATCTCCTAACATTCATTACGTAAACAGAGTCTTCGCAGTATTCCTAAATGGGGATTATGTATCCTGTAGCCTCTACAAGAAATGTTGAAACTCTCAAATAAACCTGTATTAAGTAATGTTAAATAAAAACGTGGTAAAATTATTGTCAAAACCATTTCGGTGCTTTAAAAAAAAGAGTTGTTTGTTTACATGGCAAATTAGCAATTCTCTCTCCTACTATAACACTTTATAGATAACGTAGGAAGTCCAGAGAGGTCATACATTGGTATATAAGATGGCTTCTTTTCCTAAAAAGTCAGTCTCTAGTTGCTGAAAAACCACAATAACTTTTTCATGTCCTTGGTTCTCAACAGCTAAAAAAATATGAGCTTATTTTGTTAATTTAAACCAAACATATTGTCTTTCAGATTTTTTTGCCAAGTTTCAGTTAGGGCAAAATTTTCTTTTATGTCTGAAGAAACTCCTGAAAGGATTACTAGGGCAACAATGTCAGGCTCATATTTATAGCTGTTTCATGTATTATTTGTCTTTGAAAGTGGGGCACAAAAGCTTTCCAAAGAGCAGATCAGAGTTCTTTGCTCTTTTATAGAAACTAATTATCTCAAGAAGATTCTGTGCTGTGGGAGATTTTTGAAAGCTGCAGATACCTCATATGCTTTCTGAGAGCTCCCTTAAAACCAGCATGGGCCCTGCATGGAAACTACATTTCATCAGCAAATGCAATGCAATGCCATGCAACTGCAAGCTGAGAATTCTGCTTTCTTGTTTGTACTAATGGCTACTTTCTCTTTCTGTAGGTTCTCTCATACCATGCTTCTGCTGCTGAGGAGGAAACGAGGGAGCTGCAGGTAACAGCGGTAATTGAATTTTTTACTATTACTTTAGAAATGCTCCATTAATAGAACAACAAAGGGCAGTCCTTTACATGGACGTGATTCTTAAACATGCAGAAGCACACCTTCCAGAAATAAAAATTACAGTGAAGCTTAAACTGCTCAGTTCCTGAGTTGAATCAAGACATTACATAAAAGAGAAATGTTAAAATGAAAGATACAGGTTGGCCAGAGAGCTGCAATTAATTACAGGAGAAGCAGAAGTATAGTGACTGCCTTCTCATGAGTTTGAGTGCCAGTAACAGCTGATGCAATGTTACACAATAATTACATATTTCAGAACCAAAATGTTGAGAACTCTTCTGTCTGCAGCTAAGTCTGAATGTTGTATATTTTATGACCTTACTGCCTTACACGGAAATTCTGAATTTAATTGTTAATGCAATGATTATTATTTTTATTATTTTTACAGTTGCTTTTCTGTGTAGTGTCCTGATCTGCTCATGTTTAATTCTGGGTTTAGAAACCACTGCCTAAGGAATAACTATAGCTATGATTTCAAGTATAGTTCAAAGCATAGCCTGTGCTTAGTTTCTTCAGTTCTCTCTGTTGGAGCAGACTTTCTGGGGAAATAGCATCACCCTGCTGCACAAAAAAAAAGGGAAGGATGAAGGGACAGAGAGGAAGGCAGACACAGAGAACCACAAGCTGGGTAGTATGGGACTGGACTGGACTGGACAAGCAAGGTGGCACAGAACAAGGCACAAGACTAAGGTTATTTCTGGAATGGTTAGCATCACACAGATTTTGAACCTCAGTTCTACCACACTGTTGCTCATCGATACAAGGTTTTCATGCTATGAAACCATCACTCTGAATTTTAACGGAGCAATCACATTAATTCAGATAATTTAAGCTGGAAAAAAGGAAAACAGGCCTGAAAAATAAGGGTATCTTAGAATTGCAGGGCACCACATAGAGCCCAAAGCAAACCACAGACCAAGTGCTATGGTGTATGGACAAATCACTTTGTGGCCTTTAACCTCACTACTAGAGAATGATCCCTGTCCTGTCGTATAGAGCAGTGCAGATCTAGCCACTTCATTGTTCATTTGGTTTCTTCTTCATGCTTTTGTTTTACAAGATACCTAATTCCTAAAATTCCTTCTCTAGGTATTATTATTTTCTTTAGAAAGCTTATGTTCTTTCTTTGGTGCCACATTCCACCACTTTGATTACTCAGAATGTCCCCTATGGTATATAGACTTTCTTACTGTGTTGCTTATTATGCAAGTAGTTATCTTATGCTTTTTTCCAGTTTTTCTTTGTAAATCTCAATGATTCAGTTTCTTTGTAGTTGTTACTTCTCTTTCTTCTCAAGAACAGCTAAGATTTCAATGTGCAGGTTTTTCCATCTCAGCTGAAATGAAACTGTCCTGGGTCCAGCTACAGCAGTCATT